TCCATGTTGGTGATGCAACTTTTCAGCAACATTCACTATGTTGCTGAAACACTCATCCTTTTAGCACCCTCTTAGGGCCACGTTTCACACACTCTTTGCTTTCTACACCATTCTTCCCCCTAAAACATTACAGCCATATTTCCTCCCATCTCTCCATCTTTCTACTTGAATTTGCCACAATCTGAAGCAATTAAGAATTTTCAGGTTTATCTACAATAAAAGCTTTCATTCTTTTCATTCAGTAAGGTAAGTCTACCATTTTCCTATTGTTTCCTTATAGTTTTTTTCTACCCTCATTATTCCTATAATTTAAATCAATTATCTTTTGTGTTCATAATCCATTTCTGTTTTATACTTGATAAATTATGATTTATATACTGTGACAGAAACTTCTGCAATTTGCAAGTAGCATTCCCCAATCGCCCTTCATTTGTATTTCAAGAGTAAGTTTTATTTCTCATTAGTTTGCACCCATTATCTTCGTTATATTTTAATGTTTTCTTGTATATTATAGTTTTTTTTTCTATCATGGATGAATTTGAAGTATGTTATTTTTTACTTATTATTTTTATTATATTATACATAACTTATATAAAAAAATATAATAGTTAATACAGATATTATTATATTGTAAATACACATTTGTTATAAAAAAAATTAAACATTAATTTGAAGTGTTTGATTTCCTTAGATGACATTTTGAGTAAGTTTTTCATCAGAAATATGTAATGGTTAAACTCCAAATTTTGCCCCATAAATTTGAAGGGTGTGCACACTCTTCATCTCATAATTGGTTTATTAAATTATAATCCCTAAACTATGAAAAATATACCGTAATAATCCTTCTGTTACGTAATCGTTAACTTTATTGGAATTTGTATAATTTTAAATCCTTCAACTTTTACCATAAGTACATTTCTATCCCTCAACTTTTAATATATGCATAATTTTCCCCCAACCCCAAGATAATTTACTATAGATATATATATTTAATTCATTTTATCAATTATAAATTATTTTTACATTAATTGATTTAATTTTTAAAATTGATAGAAATCATTCTTATATTTTTTTATCAAACAAATTATTAATTTTTAGAACTTTATTTTAAATTTTATTATTTTAAAATTCATTTTCTTCATTAAATTTATTTAAATATATAAAATATGTTTCCTTTAATAAGCAACTAAATATTGATATCATATGAATTATAAAA